GGTTAGTGGGGTTTTTAAGTTTCCCTTTATTTTTTTTGTGGGTTTTTTTTTTTTTTTTTTTTTAGTTTGGTTTTTTTTTTTTTTTTTTTTTTTTTTTTTTTTAATTTGTGCTCTGACATCTGTGCTATTTATTTACAATCACAGAGTGTCAATATGTAGTTTCCTTCCTTTCCTCTTGGCTGATGTTACCTTGAAGCCTGTTTTGTCAGGTTTGAATACAGCTACTCCTGCTTGCTTTAGGATTCCATTTGCTTGAAATATTCTTTCCCCTTTGTTATGGTTTAAATATTAGGTGTCCTCCAAAAGCTCATGTGTGAGGCAATGTAAGAAGGCTTATTAGAGTTGAAATGACTGGATTATGAGAGAATTAACCCCCTGGTAGGAATTAACTGAGTGATAAACGAAGGCAGGTAGGGTGTGTTTGGAGGAGGTGGGTCTCTGGGGGAGTAGCTTTGGGGTATATATTTTGTAACCAGAAAGTGGAGTCTTTCTGCTTCCTGACATCATGTCCTGGTCCACTTTCCTCTGCCACACTCTTCTGCCATGGTTCTCTGCCTCACCTTGAGCCCTGAGGAATGGAGTCAGCCATCTATAGACTGAGACCTCTAAAACTGAGAACTCCCCAAATGAACTTTTCCTTATCTAAAAATGATATTGTCGGGTCTTATGGTCACACTGGTGAAAAAGGTGACTAAAACATCATTCTTTTATTTTCACTCTGTGTATTCCTTTGCCAATGAGAAGAGTTTTCTTTCAGACAGCCTATTGTTGGGTCTTGTTACTTTAATCCAGTCAGCCAGTCTGTCTGTTACAGCTCAAAGAACAGCCTTAGAAAATACATGTTCCATTGCAACTTTATTATTAGACAATGAAATTTGGATTTTATGTAATTTTCATGTCATAAAATTCATTATTATTTGAAATTTTTTTTGACCAATCAAAAACAAGCTGGCTAGATTTCACCCCAGGGCCATTATTTGCTAACTTCTGCCTTATACTAACAAAATCATTCAAATTTCAAGGGAAATAAATAAAAAGCATAAAACAGAAGTTTAAGGACTAGATCTTTGAACGTTGATAAGAGTTTTCCAGTTCTAGAAAGAACATCATCTGTAGGAAAGGAATTAGCATGCTATTATGTCAGTGAGTAAGGGTTTGAGAGCGGTGTTGTTAGCAGTATATGATTGAAAAAGTAGATGGAAAAATGAAGAGAGAAAGATCATGGGTACTAACCAGAAGTCCACTGATAACTGCTGAGAATATTTTTAAAAGAACAATTAGAATTTAACTTCTAGGAGGTAGGAGAGATGATATGTGTATATAAACTGGAAGCATCAGGTTTGGAGCAATCATTCAAGGGTCTAGCAGTTGAACTCTGAGACAGTGGAGAAGCCATTTCAGTGTTCAGAAAGCTGATTTCCCTCCACCAAAGCCTGACTCAAGGTTGCTTGAGATTTTACTTATCACTTTAACAAGTACATCTATACCAAATCCAGATACTGTTCCAAAGATGTTGTAATAATAACAACATATTAAGTTCTCATAATAACTTTGTGATATAAATACTGTTATTACTTCCATTTTATAGCTGAGCAAACCAAGGCATGAAGAGGTTCCTCCTGTAGGAGTAGCTAGTAACTTGGGTGGAACAGTTACAGAGTTGGATTGTTTGCTATTATGCTATGCTGTCAAGTTTCCAAGGTCTAGGATATTAGAACTTTTTTTGTTTCTGATTTTTTTTTTTTTTTGGAGGGGTGGGGGGCTTCTACTCCTGCTACATGTCTGGCTAAAGCTTATTAGAAAGTGTTCATGAAATTATATTTTTCCTATTAAATATGTAAACTGAACAACTTAATAAGTACTAGACACTAAGGCATGCAAATTATATGGTAAAGACATTTCCCTGTTCTTATGCCTATACACAGGATATAAATTAAGAGATGACTGTATTATTGGGAAAAACCTTATAATTAGTAAGCTTTCCCCAAATACAACTTAATACATAATAGTACTAGTGAATATAATTAGTTATTTTGTTTATTACCTGAACACCTGGAGTTACAGGGGCAGGTTGGAATGATGTGTGAAGGATGCGGTGCCCTAGGGTGCTGGAATGGAAGCTTGCTTCCTGCCCCCAAGTTTACTACTGATTGGTGTGTAAACACATAGTGGCATTATCTTTTCACAACCATGGCCACTTACCATCAGGCTTAATCTTGAGCAAGAAAGTAAATTGCTCCGCTCTGTGCATGACTCTTATTCATTTTCTAAGGGGGAAAGAGTACTTCCCTAAGTAGTCCTGGGGGATTTAAAATGGGTCTCCCAGCCTGATAAATATCCTGCCTCTTTGAAATGAGAGCCAGTGGGACTCATTGTAGAGTTTTGTTTTATTGCCATTACCTCCTTCAAATTTTTATTCAAATCTTACCATTTCAGTGATATTTAATTCAGCAACACCAGACCACCTCTCACCTTCAGTCCTTTTATCCTGCTCAACTTTCTCTTCTGACCATTGCACCTTCTAATCTACCATGCAATTATAGTTCCATGTCAAATAATGTAAGCTCCATGAAGGCAGGAATCCTGCCTATTTTGTTCAGGTATGTATCCCAACTGAATGAAAGCATGGCACTTAGTGGAAGCACAAAATTTATCATTTTAATGAGTGGATTTATTTCATATGTCATTATTGTATACATGAAAACCTGCAGGATTGAGATTCAGGGTTCGTTTTTAATAGGAACAGTTTCTGTTTTCAATTGGAAGAATGCATGGTGACACTTAACCTCAAAACTTTGCAGATGGTAAATAGAAGCATTTCTGCTCAGAACTCTACTGTCTCTAATGCAGGTGAGCAGAGTGAGGTCACTCTTGCTGATACATTTGTTTTCTAAAGGGGAACTTTGCTCACTAATTTAAGGAACTATATAATCTGATTTACAGTCTTAGTTGTTACTCAGTTGCCATCTGGCAATTTAATTACCTTTAATTAAAGCTACGTAAAGGATAAAGAACAAAAGTTGGAAGTCTATGATAACTATGTATGGTAATATTAATAAGTGTATTTCCTATGTTTGGTTTGCTTTTATTGTTAAAAAAGTAAGGTTAAGGGCATAAAAAGACTCAAAGTGGCATCATTCCAAAGCTTTCCCCGGAGGAAACCCCTTATATAAATTTTATTCTTTGACTAAGAGCCTTTGTTATAAACTAAATGTTTTGAATTAGTGGATTATTACATTTTTCCATTCAGTTACAAGTCTGGCCCAAAGCTATAAAATAAGTGAGCTAAATTGTTTCAAAACTTTTGCTGGGGTATGTGAGGAGGATTTTTTCCATTGTTTCTTATTTCATAATCAATATCGTTCTCCTTTTTGTTGCTATCCCTTTCCTCTTGGAATATTTCTCAAACGCCTACCTATCTCCCAATTCCGATTCCTCCCCCTGTTTGTTTCCCTAGTTCTCTGTGATTGACAGCAAATGGGCAGAAGAACCAGAATTCAATATATTCAGGTTAAAGAGTAACCCAAACCACCAGGCTTGTTTGCAACTGCTACCAAGAGGAGGAGTGGTTATAGAACTGTGAAAACTAGGTGCTTAGGTGATAATTATACTTAAAGAAGAGCTGGACATTTTTAAGATACTTCATCTAATTTCTCCCTTGGAGTTAGAAGGTTATAAGCCCCACCCTCCACCCTCTTAGAGTTGTTTCAACTAGCTGCAAATAAGATTGCACTTTGGAAAGGCTATACTGATTCTCAATCCCTGGCCAAGAAGGGTGAGAAGAAGGGGCATCTTCATTTGCATAAAAATGCAACCAAGCTGTCTTTTGTAGCTCCTTGGTGATTCTAAAGTTTTTCTGCTTCTGAATGTTCCTTTGGTAAGAGGGACAGAGCCTAGGGGCGTGGTCAGGAAACAATAGTTTGGTTCTTTTATTTCCCTGTATCTGTTTAAATCCTATACACCCAGAATTAACTGGAGAGTCAAAGAATCATCGTCGTGGAATCACTCCTGTAGAAAGATCTGGGTTGTTCGTAGTGGCCTAGTAAAATTGGGGACATGATTTGTTTCATCTTGACTTCCGTAGAGGAAAATCTGTAGTGTTTTTGTGGACTCCAGGGAGGAGAAACTTCTGATGTGTGGAGAGGAAATGGAATGAATGAGCGCCCAGGCAGAAAGCCTGATGTGGCTATCATGCAAATAAGATCCGTGATTGGCTTTCTCTTTCCCAGCCTGTTGTCACTGGCTGCTCCCAGCCTTAAAGATTAGGTTTCACTGGGAGTTTTTCAGGTTCAAGGACTATTAATGGTTTGTAACTGCTTAACAATAAACTCAACCTCAGAGTTACAACACCCCGGGCAGTTGGATGAGAGACCTTGGAGGAAGAAAGTTAGAATCTAGAGCAGAAGAGTGCAGCTTGCCACCTGCCTGCCGGACTGAGCTTTTAATGTGACTTAAATTTCTAAACCTTATGTAGGCGCCTGGAAATGGTGGTGTTCATTAATGCAAAGATTAAGTCTTTCATTAACCTTTTTAAGAAAAAAAGTAAGTAATTCTTTTTCGCCACTATCTATTGTGTGTGTGCTTTTGTGTTTTGTGTGCTCCTTCGTCCTTTTGAGTGACAGGAATCAGAATGGGAAACAGTGTAACTGGTATAAGTTACTCCATACCAAGTTGTTCAAATAGCTCAGACTGTTGTAACTCTAGGATTGCATTTATGATTGGAATTTTAAGTGACTCCATTTCTTTTGTACTTCTCAAAAGCATTCCTTTAAAAAAGGGAAAAATCTTTGTATTTACTTTCTTTGGTATTCGGTGTCTGATTTTTGATTCTGTGGCTGGATGAGCAGCTGACGTAAGGGATCCTCTGTGTAATGTGTCACATACTTTTGGTGGGAATGATCCTCTAAAGCTCCCTGTCACTCTCTATTATGTATTTACAAGCTCAAGAACAAACTGTCTAGACTGATGAGTGATTGTGTAAAGTACAGAGCTTTTGTCCTTGCTTTTTGTTTAAATTTCGTTAAGCCAGGTGCCTTTTGAAAATGTAAATTTTACAACCACACAGTCTTGTTTTTACCTGGTTATGGGTTTATTTCAATTTAATATAGTTTTTGGAAACTAGATAAATGTGCATGGGTCCGGGAACTGGTAAGAGAAGCTCTGGAGAAAGCAACAAAGAACAGCACACTGGGCTCATTTTCTGTGTGTCTTGCCCCAAGGCTGTCTTTGGAAGGACTGATAACAATCTGCTCTGGCAAGAGGGAGGTGCACCAGCCAAGAGACAACTGCTCTTTCAGAGGAGCCAGTTGGTAGCTGTGCATTAGGGCTGATGGTGCGATTACACGGACTCAGATGCCATTATTTGGATTTGATTTATAATTGGCAAAATTTCCATGTCTTCCAGCTATGAAGTATTGCAGTTAAACCTTTAAAAAAATAAGTGGACATTAGCACAAAACATTGTAATGGACTCTGGATATAATTTGGGGGACCTACAACCAGTTTGGCATTGTGCTAAACTTTCTGTAATGTACATGAGAATGAAGTCAGGTCTTTGTGGGTTTTGGGTATTAAGACTGATGGTTATATGGACCATGCAAAACATTGTTCAATCAGATTTCATGAAATATTTACTAATTTATATACTATTTTCATCAAACTGTATAAGCAGAAAGCAGACAGGCATATTGTTTTAACTTGATGTCTAGTTCTCAATGTCAATCACCTACTTTGCAATTTATGAAGAAAGTAGAATCCTATAAAAGAAGAATAATGGCTGGGTGTGGTGACAAACACCAGTAATCCCAGCAGCTCAGGTGGCAGAGGCACCTCAGCAATTTAGCAAGGCTATAAGCAACTCAGAGAGACCCTGTCTCTAATAAAATACAAAATAGAACTGAGGATGTGGCTCAGTGGTCGAGTGCCTCTGAGTCATTCCCCAGTACCCCCCAAAAAGAAAGAAAGAATGAATCATTCTTTTCAGACCCACCTGATTTTATTATTTAGTAGCTATAGGAAAGATGGTGTATGGGGTCCCACCTGAACTGTGGCTGAAGTTTCCTGGGTCTGAGGAAGGCACAATTCCTTCTTGGTGGTGACACTGAAGTTAAGGGCTACTTCAGAATGACATTCATTGTTCCGGTCGCAACCATTCTTTACATGAGTTGTTTTGTGAAGTAAGATCTTTACATAATTAATTCATTTGAGTTTTATTATAGTCCAGAATAATTGTGCTTATTTATATATTATGTTTATATTATTATATGTTATATTAAGTTTATATATTATGGTTTGTGGAAAATTTTATATGTTCAAATAGATGTAATAGTCCATGCATGCCTTTTCACTTTACTGTGAGAATCTGTTTCTTGATCTAGTTTCTGGTACATGTTATGTAGTAGAAAAGGGTATTTGCAGTGGGAACCGCAGGCGAGAGTCAGGGAAGACTTGTCTCTGACTCATAAGTCCAGTGTCTGCTGGCTTTACAGGAGTTCGACCTATCACCGTCAGCAAATGCTGCAGTACAGGGGCTTTCTCTATTTTTTTTCCTCTATTTTCTCCTGTGCCTGAGTCATGTGGTGGATATACAGAAAGTATTTAACATCAAGTTAAAACAATATGCCTGTCTGCTAATAAATTTGTTTGTGTGCTGTTAGCTTCATTTAGGGCTTTACTTGTACTCCAGCTTAGGTTATATTGAAACAAGGAAGTCCCAAGCCCTAGGGGAATTAAAGGAAAATTATTTTAGAGATTTATCCTGGTCTCTGGATACCTGTTATTTTCTCCTCTAGTGTTTTGGACTTTTTTTGTGTTGGGAATATTAAATTGAATTGTGTTGGAAAAAGTCAACTGCACTGTAATTTTTAAAAAATTTTTAATATGAAAGCATTCCGTGAAAGCAAGAAATAAGAGGAAAAATTTATAGCACAAATGGATTCCCATGTCTATTAGATATGCCACTTAAATGTATTAAATTGAATGTTTATGCAAATCTTTAAGAGAATTGAGTTTATAACAGTGATGTTTTAAAATAATGCTATGGATGGGAAAGATTTGGTCTTAACCTCCTGGTATGAAATTTGTTTCTGTCAGGACAATCTAATTTAATGATGCAGTAGCATTATACAATTGAATAACTCATGTTTGTTGTGGTGGAGTTAAGTAGGAAATTGAGATCTCTGACAATGTTGTCATTCATTTTGGTCTAACATGGAGTAAAAGGAGGACCTGAATTGCTAGGGAACAATCAACTGTGCACACAATTATTCTATGAAAGCATTGTGTGCAGGATGGGCGGTGTCAGTCTTTTCTTTACCAGCAGAGCACAGGGGCAAGACTTCTGCAGTCTCGATCTCAGTCACATTTTGCTCTGTTTCTCCTTGCTGTTCCTTAGCTGTATAGTAGAAACCAAAACCACCTGCTCTCCCTTCCTCCTCTCTTTTTCTGGTTCCAGGGATTGAACCTAGGGGTGCTTAACCACTGAGCCATGACTCCAGCCCTTTTTATATTTTATTTAGAGATGGGGTCACTAAGTTGCCTAGGGCCTCACTAAGTTGCTGAGGCTGGCCTTGAACTTGAAATCCTCTTGCCTCAGCCTCCCAAGCCACTGGGATTACAGGCATGTGCCACCATGCCTGGCAAAAGCTTATCTTAGTGTAATAAGTTTGGGACCAATGAAGCTTAACTTAACACCTGACTTTTTCTGTCTTCCTTTATGTAGCGGTTTCCAACCTAGATGAGGAGAGTCGATGGACAGTCCACTACACTGCTCCATGGCACCAGCAGGAGAATGTGTTCCTTCCCACCACAAGACCCCCTTGTGTTGAAGACCTACACCGCCAAGCCAAGCTCAACCTCAAATCAGTATTGAGGGGTAAGATAGCATTTTTCTGAGCTTGTTATTCTTGAATTACTGTTAGAATTGAGAGTATGAATTTAATTACTATTTATCTGTGAAATAAGATCTGTTTACACCGAATGTGTAATAATATGCCTTATCTTCATGAATACAATCCAATACATGCCAAAAATATGTTCTGGTACCTGGAGAAACTTGCCTGTTTATAGATATGCAAATCTATCTTCAAAGGACCCACTCCTGCTTAAAAAACTGTTTATCATGTTTAAACTACCAGCACTAATCTAATCCAAATAAACCCCTACTGACTTGGGAAATTTTGCCACTGCCTTTAAAAAAACCATCAACAAATTTTAGCAAATATGTGTTTAAGCAGCACATTTTAATGGTTTGTTTTGTTTAGTTCAAGTTAGTTAGAAAGGAGATCTTTCCATAGACTCTAAGCAGGGCTAATTGTTTGATTTATTAGAACTTGGGTGATACCAACTGGGCTTCTCTAACTAAGCCTTGTCTCTGATTCTAGGCCTTAGAGCAAAAGCAGATGGGCAAGATACACTGTGGTCAGGAGATGAGGAAAGTACATACTTATAGCTAGTATAAAACTCACTTTTACTTTAACTTATTGTTGATGTTGAAAAGTGTTGCTATGGTGGTCAGGAGGGAATTCCAGAGATGAGGAAGGGAGGTAGTTCTTCAAAGAGGAAAGGAACTTCTTATAAACTTGAGAGACTCTATAAAATAACAGGCCAAAGTTCTTATCCTACCGGGTTCTCCTACAGATTTGTTCTACCATGCAATATCTGGGACATAAGTATAAAAAAGAAGTATTCATTTGTCTGAAATTTAATTAAACAGGGCATCTTGAATTCTATCCAAGGTGAAAGACTTAAATCTGGGAGAAACTTTGTTATTGTTTCAGGGAAAATATAGCACACGGACGACTCAAGAATATTTACTTATATATCAGTCATTTATTTTATTTTATTTTTTTTAACATGTACACACATTTTATTTATCAATTTAAAAAAAAAAGAAAGAATTTGAACAAATGAAGCGAAGTGCAGACGTTATCAGTTTGGTATATCAGTCATTTACTAAATGATATTTTTTTTTCTTTTTGTGGTTCTAGGGATTGAATGTAGTACTGGGAGGCTTTAATACCAAGCTACATATGTAGCCTTTTTGATTTTCTATTTGAATTACCCAGACTGGCCTTGAATTTGTGATCCTGATCCTCTTGCCTCAGCCTTCAAGTTGCTGGGATTACAGGCATGCACCACTGCACCCAGCAAATTATTCATTCTTTAATAACTACCACTATTATTAAACAATTATAATGCCAGGTATTGTTCTATGCTCATTGCATTTATTATCCCACTTAATCCTCTCATTAATCCTACTACTTTTTTTTACTACACCCAGATGAAACAGAGACACAAAGATTAGAAACTTCCCCAAGTCCTTGAAGTTAGCTGTAGAACCAGGATTTAAACTTAGGACAGTCTGAGGCTATAGAAGTCATTCATATTTATTGCTGATACACTAAACCACCTTTAACAACTCTGGGTTGGAAATCTGTTTTTCTGGCAGAAATGTAGAATGCAAAGTTGCAATTCCAGCTCTCAAGGACTGTATATTTGTATCTACAGTGAAAGACACAGGATATGTGCCAAATTTTGCTAAATGGAAATTGAAGAAAACAGATCATATCTGCTTGGATAAAGGTGAAACAGTTATCAAGAGTCACCATGGATTTGGTGTTCTGAGCAGAACTAAACAAACATTTTGGACCACACCTGTTTTTCTTCCATTAGTATTATATGACAGCTTGTCTCACGTATCTTCTAATAATAGCTTGCAGCCTGCAGTTTTAGCATTGGTCGATGCAGAAGTGAGGGCATTATTGGCATCCCCTTTTCATTTAAGCCGAGTAATCTGTGTGTTGAGCTTACATGAAAACAGTGGCATCAGTTCAGCCCACTTGTATGACCTTGGAGTGGTACATAGAACTTCTTTGCCTTCATGGTATCAATTGCCTTATGTACCTAAATCTAACCAAAATTTGTTCAAGATCCCTTCAGTTCCCAACTATTTATCCTTTATAAATATCAGCAAGAAACTTCTCTATTTACAGCTCACCTTCCCCCACCAAATAATTAATAAGAATGTTAAATGGCACTGTTCCCAGGACAAACCCCCGAGGCAATGCCTTGTTGATAATTCTCTGCCCAGATCCTGAGCAGCAGAGCACTGCATGGACTGGCTTGTAGAAAACGCATGCGTGAAGGTATGTGTGAGTTTGAATATTCAGACTCAACTGCTTTTTGATCACTCTCCAGGAAATTGTGCTTCACTGCTTGGTTCATGCATTTTCAATTTCCAGATCAAGATTCTTTTTTTTTTCCCCTTAGAAGATTAAACATCTGTATACAGAAATTTTTCTGCTTTAGTGTTCTTTTAAGTGTGTTTCCATGTGAAATATCACTACTGGTTTTACCTAAACTTGAATTTTATTTAAAATTTTTTTTTAGTTGTAGATGACACAATACCTTTATTTTGTTTTATTTTTTATGTATTGCTGAGAATAGAACCCAGGGCCTCCCTTACACATGAGAGATAAGCACTCTACCACTGAGCCAAAATCCCAGCCCTTGAATTTTCTTTTGAAAAGATAAATGCTTATGTAATTGTTTTAGTGTCCTAAAAGTGTTCATCAAAGAGATATTCTATTAATTAAATAACTTTAGAAAATTCTTAACTCAATTTCTCTTTCTCTCTCTCTCTCTCTCTCTCTCTCAGGGATGAAATTCAATAGCACTCTACCTCTAAGCTACATCCCCAGCCCTTTTTATTTTTATTTTTTTGAGACATGGTCTCACTAAGTTGTCATGCTGGGCTTGAACTCATGATTCTCCTACCTCAACCTCCTGAGTTGCTTTTTGGAATTCAACTTTTAAAGTCTGAATTGGAACCTCCTTGGAGGTTAAATAATTTTACCAACAGTAATTGGGACAGATGAAATGAGAAAGAACCTCTGAGTTCTTTTGTTCTTCATTATTTATTTTTAAATATGTTCAATCACATGTGCAGAACTCCATGGACCACTTCCCCAGTATTATCCTAACAACCTGAAATAAACACAATGAGAGTTCAGAGTGTCTGTTGCCCCGTTACCAGTGAAGGGGAAAAAACCCTCAAAAAACAAAAACAAAAAACAGTTCCTGAACATTCTTGAATATGTGTAATGTTAAAGCTTGATGTTATATAGGTTATCAGTCTAAGTTAATTCAACCTCAGTGTTCTTTACTTAAAAATATAGAAAGGTAGCTAAGTATGCCCTGTATATAATCTATTTATTCATCACTGTTATCTTTCCCATAATTTTTTTTAGGGGGTTGGGGGATACCAAGGATTGAACTCAGAGACATTTAACCAACTGAGTCATGCATCCCTATTCTGTTTTTATTTTTTATTTTGAGACAAGGTCATACTAAGTTGTTTAGGGCCTCGATAAGTTGCTGAGGTTGGCTTTGAACTTGTAAACCTCCTGCCTCAGCCTCCAGAGCCACTGTGACTACAGGCATGAGCCACCATGTCCAGCCCTTGCCCATAATTTTAAGGAAGGAATAGCATTCTTTAATGTTGAACAGCTGGGGACTTTTTCATTAAATGTTTGTTATGTAAATTATTCTGTCAGTTTTTATGGGAAACCAGGCTCTAATCTTAAGGACCACAAAATGCACAGGGAAACGGTACAGTGAGTACTAATTAATAACTAAATGTAAGCATACACTTCTCTCTTTTTTTTTTTTTTAAGTAAGATATACTTCTTAAAGTAATATGGAAATACACAGTAGTCATAGTAGTCAATTGAGTGACTGAAGAAGGCACAGATTTGCTGGAAAATGTTTTTTGAAAAAAACTAAGTTAATACCTGTAGGCAGATAATAGACACAACAATTTAATCGGTATTTGAGTATCAATTTTGTGCTCTATAAGGAGTTTTAAAATGGACTGATAAAGTTTCTCAGCTTTAAAGGGCTGAGCCTGCTATCTTGCATAAACAGCAGTGATGTAAGGAGGTATGCCTGAAACATGGGGATAGAGGGAGAACTGGAAAAGCACTGGGAGACCCTACTCCCCTCCTTATTCACCCACCCACATACGCAGAGATGATGGTCTTCACAGATGTGTAATATGGCATGAGGTGGTTCTCTCCTTCACCATCCTCCAAATGTAACAGTGATCTTTTGTGTTTGTTGTTGAACGTTTCTGGAGAACTTGATAAAATTTGAAGGTCATGCTCTTAGATGCAGTGTCTTGGCTTTGTTGATTTGTTAGAGATTTTAGGTAATGATTTACTTCTAATGAAGAATTAGAATTTAAGTGTGGGGAGGAGTGTTGATTAAAAACAGTATTTTGCTATTTGGTTCAACAAGACATCTGGCTCTTAATGAAGAGTTTATTTCTGGAGATGGATCCTATCATCCATGAAGAATTAATTCAGCATCTTAATAAATTTCCTGAGGAAATCTATCCTATTATCTCCATAATTGAACTCTTCCTGAACTTTCTTGGAGGTACTAATGATGATAAATAATCTTTTCTATCTAGGTATTTATTTGTACAGCTTTTAGATTTACTGAGATAACCCCAATTAAGTGGAAAAGAGAATCAAGAACTAGGTATGGGCTCAATGAAAGATTTGGTGATTGTTTCGTTATAGTTTCTGGGCCTCATTTGACAATTCTAAGCATAGTAAAGGCTGAGATAAAGACATCATTTTTAAGTCTCCATCCTCAAAAAGCCCAACTTGAGAAAGAAAGAGAGAGAAACAATTTCTCACAGTGTGCTTAACAGACAGTTTAGGCACTGTGTCTGTATACACTCCTGCCTGAATTCGTTCACAGAACATCTGTTGTTGGTAGCAGAAATGTTCTCTTCTCACAGCTCTTTCCTGAAGAAACACATTTTAGCAGGTCAGCATGCTCTGAGACTCTAGAATTAGAAGTGAA